AACACAGAATATGATACCTAAAGTCATATATCCATCATTTCTTTTTTCCTTTTCTAATGAATTGGATAGAAAGGAACAAGTAACCATTACAAAATTAAATTCCACTTATCCATTTGAAATGAATCATATCCAAAAACAAAACCCGGACAAGAGGCAGAAATGCAAAGGCCGTGACCCAATTGACATGCCCAACTCTATTTCGTGCGTACCCAACTCCAACGTTGCCGAAACCAGTTGTGAGTGCGGTTTTGGTAACTGAAAGATCGTGCATTCTCATTTTTACATAGGAAATGAAAATCAAAATCAAGAAACCTTTGATGACTTAATTGTTGATGGTCCACTTGGGACAAAGTTGTGGATTGAATTTTGAAGTAATCTATAATTTTTGGAAAATGATGCTTTTCCAATGAAATTGCCACTTGTCGTGCTGGTAGCCGGTTGATGTTCTTAGCTTTACAATTGAAATTGTGTTAGACTATAAAATCATAATCAGCAAATAAAGGGTTAGTTTTGTAGGCACAATTTAAACTACACAATCACGTTTCAATATTATATCAGTAAGTATATTTTGCATTGTAATTGTTTTAATTATTAATACAACTATGCTTTTTATAAAAAAAAAAAAAGAGACTAATAATGGATGTGGTTATGACCACGACAATTAATTTGGTTTGATACACATGTCAATATCTAGTTGGTTCAACTATTAAAATATAATATAAATGTAATTGATTCAATTAATTCCTATTTATTGTATACTTGACTACTTTTTTAATTTTTTTTATCTTTAATGTTAGGTAAAAAATAATAATTTTTTAATAAACATATTGTGAAATCTGTTAATTCAAAGGGTGTCAATATCAATATTTTGGCACATTAACTCACTTTTTTATTTTATATTTAGAAAAGGAATTTAAGATAATTTATTTTTTATTTATATTATTTTTAAAAGAAATAAAAATAAAGAGACTTTTTTTATCAGATAAATAATTAAAGTAAAAAAAATAAAAATAAAAATAAAAAAATATTTGTCTCCTTAAAATATAAAAAATAATTAATATTATTTTTGTACAAATTCTAAATAAAAATAAAATACAATAAAAAAATCTTTTACTCTAAGCAAAGGAAGAGGGGGTAAAAAAGTAAAGGTGAAATGTCATTTATAATCCTTAAAGTTTCAATTTTGAATATTTTTAGTCCCTAAACTATTTTTTACTCATTTTCATCCTTGAACTTTGGAACACTTTTGTAGTCTTTTAGTCTATTAAATTTGTTTGTATATGCATATTTTTAGTCTTTAAATTTATAAAAATATGCACATTTTAGTCTTTAAATTTATAAAAATATGCACATTTTAAGTCACTATAAATTCAGGGACTAAAAATTTACATACATGGACAAATTTAATAAACTAACTAATAAAATGACTATAAAAGTACATTTTTCATAATTCAGGAATAAAAAATGTAAAAAATAGTCTAAGGACTAAAAATATTCAAAATTAAAAATTTAAAGGCCAAAAATAGCATTTAACCAAAAATAAAATATTGAAACAACCAATGAGAGGAGTGCTTATATGAGAGGAGAATTCTGATTAAGATTAATGAAATTTTCTTGATTGAGTTTAGACAAAAAACTCAAGAGATCAGAATAATAAACCCAAATGATAAAAGTTTATGATTATACAACCGACAGGTCAAATTTAGAGAAGTCATTAGTCTACTTTACTTAGAAATTTGATTTGTCCATTATCTAATCGTACGAGTTTCATCATTTAGGTTTATTCTTTTAGTCTCTTGAACTTTCTATTTTAACTTAGTTAATAAATTTTCTTTAATTTCAATCGAATTTTTTTTTAGATCAAGTTAATCGCTCAATTTGATGTAGATGTTTAATATTATTCTCAAGTATATTAGTGAATGTGACAAAATCATCCATTTATTCTTTTTAGTTTACTAATTTTTTTAATTTTAAAACTTTTAAAACTAAACTACACTTTTTTAATATTTAAGAACTAGTCTTGTAATTTTTTTTTTTTTTTTTACTTTAACAGTGAGTTAATGGATTTTATTAATTTAGAAACTAAAATTTTTAAACTTATTTTAAGTTAAGGGCTAAAATGAGGGGCGTAAAACTTTAAATTTGATAAGATCATCGGTTAAATACATACTCTAACTCGTTAACAAATGAGTGTTGTTTGGCCGTGAATACTTTTTTAGTGTCGGTTTAGAGTTCCAACTCGTTTTCAATTGTCTTATGTCATTTATCATCTCATTTTTAAGGCTGTATTTAGTATAATTATGGTTTTGAAGTTTTTATTTTGATTTTTAAAATTTTAAAAACCTTAAAATAAAATTAAGTAAATAAATCTATAAATTAATTAAGTTTAGAGCTTTTGGTATGTATTTTAAAATTACGTACTTAATAACTAGGCAATTTTAATTTTTAATTTTAGTTTTTAATTATTAATTTTGATTGTTTAAATTTTAAAAATTAAAACTACAAACTCAAAATCACAAGTATACTAGATAGAGTCTAAACATTTGGGTTTTAAATGTTCTAGTTCTATACGTGGTGTTTGATGTATTTGGGTACATTATACATTTATACCCCAAGCATTCCCCTTTTCACAATGAAAAATTTATCGGAAAATTCTCAAGGTGCATATATCATTAAACAACTAAGTGTATATTAAACTACACATCTACTAACAAGAATTTAGTTGAATTGATATCCATTAATCTAAAAACCTTGATTTGTAATCAAAGTCAGAGTTTCAAACATGTATAATGCTAAGTAATTAAGATGTACCAAAAAAATATTAAATTACACATCTTACCCTTAATTAAAAGAGTAAATAAAAGTTAAATCATGTTTATTATAAGATTTCATTTTTAATAAATATTGTCAAAAATTATTTCTTATTTGTATATAATTAAGAAAGTTATAATTTATTAACCTTAATAATGGGAATATACAAATTTAAAATATTAAATTAACCTTTCTTAATTTAGATATTAAGTAATAATTTTGCATGTTTAATGGGGTTAGTAGCCTAACTACCAAAAAAAAGGAGGTTAGTAGTCTATAAGAGTAAAATTAACCTTTTTTAATTTAAATATAAAAACTGATATAATTATAATATCACGTACCATTGTAAACTTAAAATATGATATATTATTATATAAATGGCTTTTTTACTCAAAAATCCTTCCATAATAGTATGCACTTATTTAATACCACGTCATAATTTTAAACTTATAATCTTATATGGTATTATAATTATAGTATTATCGTTTAAATATTGACATTTTACTTTTTTTTATTAAAAAAATTAAAATTGATGTAAAAAGTAAAAAAAAAAAATTAAGAGACAACTTTTTGTGTATAAATTTTTATGTAACCTTATATGTAATTTAATTATTAGCGTTTTTTACTATATTAAGATCTATGGTATTTTATTTACGAAAAAGCATAGTGCAGTTCAGATTGCGTTACACTAACCATTGGATTGGAGGTGGCATCCTAATATCAATGACTCTCCCTTCATACAATGATTTCTATTTTATAGTTCAATACAGTTCAAATTGTAAAATAAGGTTTCCTTTTATTTATTCAGCCATATAATGACATATGAAAATTATTAATAAAAATTGTACAAATAAATTGTTTACATATTACTACCCAAAATTTAAGGGAAATGATCTATACACATTTTAAAGTTACACACTTTGTTACATACTGATGATTTTTATTACTTATGTCGTTAAAAATAACGATTTTTATTATTTATACAATTAAAACTAAAAATTTTTGATTAAAATTAATGGTTTATGTCAATATGTAACAAAATATATAACTGTGTATGATGTATGTATCATTATTCCAAAATTTAATGCTACATTGATTTTAGAAAATGACCTTTTATAAAGAAAGAAAATTTTTTGTTTGGACGACCATATTGTCCTCAGGCGAGCTTGTGCCTAATATGGTTGAACATATTAGTTGTTCTCTTTTCATTTAAAAATAATTATTATTATATACTTAATTTAACGTATTTTTTAATATTTATTTTAATTTGATTATTAAAATATAATATAAATATAATTAATTCAATCAATTTTTAATTACATTTTTAAATTTATCTATATTTAATTTCAAACTAAAAATAATAAATTTTTAATAAATATATTATATAATATATTGAATCAAAATATATACCAATCATCATCCTTTCTTTAATTTGCTTACCCTTATTTTAAAATAATAATTAAAACATATATTAAACAAGAACACTTATTTAAGTATTGATTAATTAGGAATAAATATGAAATTTTATTAATTAATTATTACATCAATATTTTATTTTTTTAATAAAGGTTAAACTCTTAACTTGGTCCCTTAACTATTGTCTGGATTTTCAATTTGGTTCCTAAATTAAAAAAGTTTCTAATTTGATCCCTAAAATTTATATATTTAACTCTAAGTTAATCCCTCTAGTAGAAAAATAACTGACATGTTTTGTTACTAATATAACTGACATGTTTTGTTACTAATATAATATGTAACCATCAAGTAATGACATTCTATTGTCAAGTAACAGACATGTTAGGGTTTCTTTTTAACAAAGGGATAAACTTGAGATAAATTTAAAAATTTTAAGGATCAAATCAAAAGTTTTTTTTTAACTTAGGGACCAACTCAGAGGTATATATAATAGTTGAGGCACCAAATTAGACATTTAACAAAAACAAAAAAAAAAAACACAAAGTCTACTAAAGAGGGAGAGAGTATTACTTGGTTCCACGATGAACGGGGGATTGTAGGATTAATTGACATACTAATTTAATTTTGTTAATAATGAAGGTAAACGCCAACTTCACATTCACACTGCCCTCTAAACATTACTATCTGAAGCAGTTGAGTAAGAAATCACATGTTACAAAGGTGATGAAGGGCATCTGTGAGCATTATAAAAGACGTTGGAGAGGAGCGTCCAAACCACAAAACTATAGTGTCAAGTGAAACTTTGAAACTAGAGCTCAGTCATGGGAGTACTGTTAGGCTGTTCCCTTCCCCTCCTTTTCTTAACTCTGTTTGGTACCGCTAACCTTTTCATTACTGCAGTTAACGGAAAAGAATGCACGGTTTCTAAGAAGTCCACCCTCTTGATCAGCTTTGGCGACTCATTCTTTGATGTTGGCAACGGTAAAAATGAATTTTGTGTTCCATCTGAAGACCCACCATATGGGAAATCACTTGAAACCCAGGATGCCACTGGAAGATTCTCGGATGGTCGTGTGGTACTTGATTATATTGGTAAGATCCTTATTATTATATAGTGTTTTGTTTGACATATCTTTCTAAAGGATAACTCCAAAAACATCATATTTTAATTAATATTTTTAAAACCTTGTTTTTCAAAAACTATTCTAACTTTTTGCCAACTTTTTGTAAACAACCATGTTTGCTTCACTGGTTTCAGCCAAATACTTAGGCTTGGCTGATCGTGAGGGCAAAGTTGTTGCATACAGCTGTACCTCAGATATCCAAGAAGCGTCATCACCAGGCCAATGCGAAGAAAATGGAAATTGGAACTTTGCCATAGCCGGCGCAGGTGCCACTCGAAGTGCAATAAGGAAGGTATATATATACATTAGCAAATTAATTAAGTTTCTAATTAACTCGGTCATTAACACGATCTATTGACAATAATATTATTTGTAGATCAGGCCGGTAGAAGCTCTTAAATAATTAAGGCACAATAATTAAGTTCATGGGTTTTTCTCAGACTAATGATTATATTTATATTATATATTTTAATAATTAAACAAAAATATATATCAAATAGTGTATGGAATCAAATATATGTTAATTATTATCTATCAATATAATATATGATTAGCCTATTATTCTCATCCTATTATTTTGTATAGTTAACGGTTCCAACAAATGTTTCACTGAACTCACTACCACTCCATAAATCCCTAGAAATGAATTTAATTTTTATACTTTATTATTTTGGTTTGACTGGTTTTCTAATTAAGTGCATTCTGCTTTATATATTCACAGTCGAAATCACTGTCCGCTCAAGTAACTGAATTCCTCGAATATTCGACAAAGGTTTTTGGTGGTAACAGAGCGAAATTATTAGAAAACGGATATCGAGCTCTCTATTTATTTTCAATAGGTACACACGATTATCTTGCGCAATTCCGGACTATAGAAAATGAGCAAGATGTTCAACGTGTAGCAGATGATGTTACCACAAAAATAGTGGAGCAAGTTAAAGTAAGATATTCGATTCCAATTACGTCTGTACGTACTCATAACTGTGATCGATTTAAAATTAATTAATCATTGTGCATATCCTAATTTTTCAGAAAATAGCAGACTATCGGGGTGTGAGGGGAAAAAGAATTGCGTTTATGAGCGTTGCCCTACGCTATTTGCCGGTTTTGCTGCAAGAATATTCCAACAACGATACGCGGCTGCACTTGCTTGATAAACTGGAAACTACCCACTATGAAAAGCTCAGAGAGAAATTGGAAGAATTAGCTGGAGGCCCTGAACAGGCTACTGGTCAAGATCCCATTTTCAAATATTCAATATTGCGATACCACAGCATAATCAAGGCTATAATGGAGACACCTGAAATATATGGTAAGCTATGCACGCAGGCTAGTTAACTTAATGTTTTAATTGGTCTATATATATATATGAATAAGGATTTATTTACGTATAAATTTTATACACTGCACTTATATAAAATGTTAATCATTTATCTTTTCATTTTTAATATTAAAATTTATTTATTTTTTTTAATTTTTTAAATATAATTATTTTTTTATTTAAAAAATTATGATAAATTTTAATCATTAAAAATAAAAAGATAAATTATTAAGATTTTATATAACTGTGGTATGTAAAACTTGTATATAAATAGATCTCTAATACATATAGTTAGAATTCACCTACATATATTAATTACACAAAATTATAACTATTCTTTTTTTTACTATCAATATTTGAGATTTATTTATCTTTTATTTTATTTTTCAAAAATAATTATATTTTATCTAAAAATTCATAATAAATTTAAAAAAATATATAAAAATTTCAAAATATTACATATATAAATAATATACATAAGAGTTGTACGTAACTGCCACTAACTGATTTATTGATCCTCTTTAACTTTTTTCCTCTTCCTGAACCCCAAGGCTTCGATAAGAAAACAGTTACGTCCGCATGTTGTGGTAATGGGTGCTATAAAGCACACGGTTGTGGGAGTTTGGATAAGGAGGGCTGCAATGACCCTACTGCTCATGTGTTTTGGGATGGCATGCATACCACTCAGCATATTAATCAGGAAATAGCTCGCTTATTCTGGAATGGACTCACGGATAAGACATATCCTCATAATTTGCAGACTTTAGTAGGCACGGAGGAACGACGATACGATTTCTCTGTCGATAAGGAATTACTAGTTACTTGGACTGAGAAATAAGTAACTTCAATTTTTAGTAATTAAGATGTCATTTAAAATATGTGTTGGATCTTGTTTGATCGAGCTCTTAGTTTCTCATCTCTATTACAGAGTTTCTTAAATAAGATACCATCTCTGGCTCTATGGCATTGATGGTTGATTTTCGGTGTATCCTATTTGTGTGTTATGTGTTATTTTACTCTATAGAACAATGTGCGCTGTAATATTTCCTTAATGTGTGACTCTGGCTTTCGATTTCTTTTTCTAAAGCTTAATCAATTATGGTGAAGACAAATGTCATATTGCTTTTTAATTGGAGTATACGTATAAAACAACAAAATTTTCAATGTGAAAATGACTTGAAAGAAACTAATTTCGTAATTGAAGGAAACTAAGTTAATTAGTTTAGGGGGCTGGGACATCAAAGGATAGGATTGAAGAAAGAAGCTAAAATGGCTTTAATTGCACATTTACCTCAGTATGTTTCTAGAATGGATCTTTTGTTGTTGCATTCTCTTTTTCCTTTGTTCTTTCTTGCTTTCCTGGCCCATATCCTCTTAGTGAACATGATTCAAATGATTTTCATTGATACAAGAGAAAGAAGACTTAACAAAAGCTTAAAATCTCATTGTGCTCCCAGTCATTTGGTGACTAATACACTTTAGCTTTCCCCTTTTGTGCCCCTCTCCAAGGGCAGAGATGTAGGGGCCTGGGGGTAAACATAATCATAGTTTAGATTAGATTCTGTACGGCAGCTTTATCTAGATTTTGGACCATAGGAGACTAAATTTTCTTAATAATAATAATAATAATAATAATAAAGGGTCCCAACATTAAACCCCAAAGAAGAAGATCACAGGGAATAGAGTGGAGGATGGTCACCCCTCCACCCACGCCGTCAGGGATTTATTACCTTGTATCCCAATTTCGCTCCCCCAAATATCCCCATTTCCCAAGTTCCAAAAAAAGAAAAAAAGATATTTTCAGTTGAGGTTCAACTCTTCAATTAATCAGACTATTGTTCAAGGAAAAAAAAAAAAAAAAGGAATTAATCAGACTACGTGCAAAGAGAGATGAACTGAAAGGGGCTCATCAAAAAAAAAAAAAAGATTAACTAAAAAGGGTCTAAAGAGGACGGGACTGGCCTGGTAAGCTAGGCCTCAGTAGATGTTCTAAAAATTATAGCCCATAATCATTTTTATTCTTGGGCTTCTGATTTCCTAAAGCCCAATCCCTTTTCCCTCCAATGTGTCTATTTATATCACAAACGCGTCCATGACCTGAGCTCAAAGGCTCAGTACAGTCTAACAGAGCCGAAGATTACATAATAAGAGCCTTTTTAATACGAGAAAAGAGGAAAAATCAAAATGGATTGATATTAAAAATATTAAAATATTTAATAATAATTATATAATAAATTTAATAAAATTAAAATATATATTATATTTTATATATTTAATAATTATAATTAGATATCTTAATATTTTTAATGTGAAAACGTTTTAATTTTTTTATAATATTCACTTTTCATAAAATAAAATAAAAACAAAAAACAAAAAGACAAAACAAATGACCCACGTGGAGTTTGACCATTTCAAAACTCAATGTGGGCTCTTATTCAAGTTTTTGAGATCTTTTCCTCGCAGAAACCAGATTAACAATTTTAGAATGTCATAAATGCACTAAGCAAAACTATTTCCTTAATATACAAAAATGGAGAAGCTTTATCGCCGGCACCTCATACTTTTAGAATACATTGATTAATTTATTTCAGCCATTTATATGATTTTGACTCTTATATGATGGTTGGGTTGAGGGGAACAGAGAGGAGAGGAAGAGAGGGAAAGGAAGTTTTTCTTCACTGTTCCCTTACATTTCCCTCCCCTCTTTTCCCTTTATTTTGATAAATAATTAAATTAAAAAAAAAAGTAAAATGAATTTTTTCCCACTCCTCTTTAAATTTTTTTATAACTAAATAAAGAATTTTTTTTTCCTCCTTCCCCCTTCTATTCTCCTCATCCAAACATACTATTAGTTTGAAACCATCTAAAAAAATGTATGAGGGTTTTAATGTGAACAATGGATAAAAAGGGGGGGAGGGGGGACATTAGGTGTGCTCATTGAGATTACTTTCACTGAAATTCGAAATCAAAATCATGCTAATTATTAATCTGGTTGATGTTGGAATATATGCCTATAAAATTGTATATTACATGTGAACCCTTTGGTTTCTTATATCAGGTTGGGGAGGATGAAAGGAAGATCTGTTGCTACTTCTAATTTCTCAAGGACAAAAAGGAATTAAGCACCTGGCCTAGATTGCACCTCTCTTAGTTAAAAATTTTGGGTTTAATACTTTAATTCTAATTCCCCCTTCCAAACTATTATGACATACATTGGTTTGAACTAGCCTTCTGCTTTCAAGATGCAATGGGTTCCCACCTTAAAACCACCAAATATATCCAATACTCCAAATTTCAATATCAAACAACTTCATGATAATGACCCTCTAACCCCAATCCTTATCAATACAAAATTAGGGAAAAAAAAAGGGGGTGGTAATAAGCTTTAAAGTGTAAACCACTCAATGTTGGATTAAAATTGATTTCTTAATATGGGATTGGAGCTTTCCCTTGTCATGTCTTGTGGGATATTGGCCTTGACTCCATTGGTATCTTGTGAAAATGTTAAAGAGATCTAATATTGGATTAAGAATAGGTCATGTCCCTCTCACTTGGACCACCCTTGGTTGTAAAGTGCAAAGGAAAAGGGGTGAAAAGTGATCATTTCAATTTCCCATGTTTCTTTCATGCACAAATCCAAAAAATCATATTCGAGTTTGACTAAGAATGGTTCAAAAAGGTGTTGAGGAAGAAAATGCGAGTGCAATAAATATGATATTTCTTTCTTTCTTTCTTTCTTTCCTTTTTTGAAAATAGGCAATGGATGATATTTCTCATGCTATACATCATTGTATTTGTTAAACCCAATTTTATATGTAGATGCAACTTTTAGTTTTTCTTTGAATATGGAATATTAAACATTAACTCCTATATTGTGGGGATTATCTCTTGAATTTTTGTAATGAAGAAAAAGGTGTTCAAGTGTGAAGAGAGTTACAAGGGTGTAATTGAAAGTTTTCATGGTTGTGACTCGTGAGCTTTGTGTTGGGATTGCTTCCCTTCTTCAAGGATTTTCTTTTGTAATTTTTTTGAATTATTACAATTATGGGGTAGGGGGACTGAACCAAACACTACTTTTTTTTTTTTTTTAAGAGTTGTTAAGATTTTCCATCTCTACCCCTATGGCCATCAAGGCTCGATCATCAAAAACTGAAGATTTTCCAAATCCCACCTTCTATCGAAGGGTTGCAATACCTAACCTTTACTAGATTTGATCTCTCCCTTGTAGTAAATCATGTTTCACAATTCATGCATGCTCTCCCACCTTAGATCACTTTCAATTAGTTAAATGTATTTTAAGTTATGTTGGCAGCACACTAGATTATGGCATGCATATTTCTAATCAAAGTACATTAGATTTATATGGCTTTTTAGATGCAAATTGTGCTGGTTGCCCATTCACTAGAAGGTCAACCACTAGGTTTTGCACATTTTTAGGTGGAAATTGCATTTCTTAGTGTGCTAAAAGCATCCTACAATGGCAAGATCAAGCACCAAAGCTGAATATCACTCTATGGCATCTACAACAGTTGAACTTACATGGCTTGCTAAACTTCTTACTGATATCAATTTGCAGCTTCTTAAAACCCCTATCCTTCATTGTAATAACTTAAGTGCTCTTTACATGACCATTAATCCTGTTTTCCATGCTAGAACCAAGCATATTGAAATAAATTATCATTTTGTTAGAGAAAAGGTTGCATTGAGAAATCTTATCACTTGTATTGTGAAGTCAAAATATTCACAGAGTAGATATCTTTACAAAGCCCTTGCCTAAGCATTGTTTTAAGGAGCTCTGTGTCAAACTTGGCCTCTGTTAAGTACCACGGCCAAGTTTGAGGGAGAGTATTAAAGGCACAATCAACCACTGTAATCAAGGAAATCAAGGAAAAAAGCAAAAGGTGGAAATCAAGGAAATTATTACCAAAGAAAGAGCACAAGTTAGCAACGGTCTAGAGCAAGTCACGAAGAGCAATCCAAGGAAATAATACAAAGAAAGAATAGGAAAGAATCTCTAAACTAATCAAAATATGGCCGTTGTACATAAATGCATTCTTTATATTGGTAATCTTGGCTTAACGTCAATAACTCCTAAAATCATGCTATGTGTAATATGTAAATAATATAAATAGTGAAAAATTCTCTTTCTCTCCTCACCTTGAGAGAGACTT